GAATCATTAATAAGTTTGTGCATCATATTTTATTTGCACATTTATTGAATGGAAATGTTTCTGATTCATGCATGCGTATTCATCTTCAGATAGTGTCTTTATAGCAATGTGCGTGCAGTAGATCGCTCAGATTACATTGGGAAAACAGGCGACCGCTGCAAATTGTGCTTTAATGTTTAGCTGGTCAACTGTATGGTATGGAAACCTTATATACCTGCTAGATGAACCCGTCTCATACAGCTGCCATTGCAAGGCTCAGACACTTTGTAGAGAAGAATTTAACACAACTGCCTCTAGGAGTCGCCAATGGAAATAAAACAGACACGCACAAAAAATGTGCGTACGCCAGCCAGAAAGCTGCGTGGAGCTGCGCACATTCCCACGTTCAGTTCATTGTTAGTGAATCCAAACGTGAGCGATTCTGAGCGTGAAACCTGGCGTACGCAGCGTTGAAACATGAGGCCCCTGGTATTAGGCAAGCTGCTGATTCATATTCACGTGATTTAGCTTATCAATTGCATACAGTACCTTCAGCACACTGCAGATGGCGATATCGTCTCGTCCGCCCAACAAATTAGCAGTGGGAGATAAAGATGCCGACTTGTCGCGCATCAGAATGTAACGAGTTACAATAAGCGTCCGTTCAAATGTACTGGAGTAAAGAGTACATATATTCAATCAAAAATGTAATGAAGTACAGAGTAAAAGTTGCTTTTATTTTTAATACTCAGTATAAGTACAAAGTAGCCAAAACATACTTAAGTAAAGTAACAAAGTCCATTTACTTAAGTACTTTACACCACTGCAATACAGCTGAACAAGACTCAGCCCTGATGTGTGTGTGTGCTGTATAAATAGTCCTTGTAATCAGTTCATGAGCAGCTCCCAGCCATGAGTGTGTTTAATCTCCTGAATGAGGAACAGGTGCGTGTGAGCGGTGCATGACTGGATATGTAGTTCCCGTAATGTCGGATTTGTAGTACATTAGCAATCTGCAGCCGCTAGATCACTGACAATCACAACACTAATAAAGAAAAATGTACAAAAAAAGCTGCTTTTATATTTGTAGAAGTTATTTTTTATTTGGAATTTGTTTTGAAATGTTTTATACTAAGTAGCTTTGTTGTTTGACAAAATATTTTTAAATATTATTATATATTATATTATTATATTATATATATTATAATATTATTGTCTGAAATTATTTTGAAAAAATCTTCTTTTAAGATCAGAATTGAGTTGTTGGTACAATTGTGTGTGTGTGTGTGTGTGTCTGTGTGTGTGTGTGTGTGTGTGTGTGTGTGTGTGTGTGTGTGTGTGTGTGTGTGTGTGTGTGTGTGTGTGTGTGTGTGTGTGTGTGTGTGTGTGTGTGTGTGTGTGTGTTCTACAGAAGCGGGCGAGGAGTCAGGTGTTGTTTGATAAGGTCTGCGATCACCTCAATCTGCTGGAGAAGGAATATTTCGGCATCACCTACAGCGACACTGAGAGCC